TGGTTTATTTCTATATTTTATGATGTTTTAGGTGTATGTATGTGAGGGAGTGGGGAGGGGGGAGGGGCACGGGAAGTGGGATATTTTTCAGTGCGTTCCATAACCCAAATCCAAAAACACGAGGTTTGCTCGCCGTTTTTTAAATCACGTCGATTAAAACATCTATCACAAGGAATTAGATTTCAAACCTTTGAATATTTGGGGGGGAATTTTCCATCACCAATTACCTGATACGATGGGAAAAGTAAACTTTGTGTATTTGCCTCCACGCAAGGACAACGGAATGCTTGGCGGAGCTCGTCCAATCAGAACTCGCCTTTTCCTATTTCCGGTCGGGCATTTCCGATTACTATGTTTGCCCCTGTTCTTTGATTAGCCCTTATCAATAACCGAACAAACTGCTGTGATGTCCCCTCTATCACAGAGCATGAGGTCTCATCGATTGCATTTCCTCTTTTTTTTTTTTTTTCTTTTTTTTTTTTGGAGATAGTTTGCAATCTTGACCTTTAGATTTCAATCAGAAACGCATTTGACAAGGGCTGTGGTTTCTGTTCTGGCGCTGACTCATCGACTTGCTGAGTGCTATTATTTCTTGTTATCGATACCTGCAGTTCCATGTTTAGACAAAGATCGCACATAACAAGACAGTTCACTCAGCCAAAAAAAGTGTCTGCGGAAGTCCGCGTATTGGTTCAGATGGCGCTGCAGTCTTTGTTTTGAAGCTCTCTTTCGTTTCTCCAGAAGAAGAATAGGAATAGCACAGTTTGTTAGTTTCACTTTTATTGTTTTTCACACAAGTAGGGTAACTCTTATCGCAAAGCCCGCACTTTTTCGAAGAGGGCGCCACCGAATTTGGCGGACACTTTTTTCATTGGCTCAAAGAGAGGAGTGAACTATCTTGTTATATACGATCTTTGGTTTAGATTCGCATCTTCCCTACCATGTATTCGTTCGCTGTTGTGTCCAGTTCTAATAGTAAAGCATCTTTTAAGCTTACTGCTTACTACTGATCCCATAATCCACAAGGATTGTAGGTGGCGTGTGTGATAGAGAACCTCGTCAGTTGTCTCCACTTTTCTCGGAATAAAAAAAAAAATAACTCCTTTCAAATTGTGTTCACCGTTTGAGCGCATTCTTCCAGATGGAAACATAATTTTAATATTATTATTTTAATACGTTTGAAAGCTATATCGTAAGGTGAATATTTGAAAGGCAGTCGCTGCAATTGTTAGGGACTCTAATAGTTATGTCTGAACAACATTTCTAGTTGCGATGTTTTCTGTGTCTAAGGATGTTTGCCTGTTTATTTAAAATAGTGCACTGGAATAAATGCAAGCACAAGCATGATAGTGCTGGTTGCGTGTCTAAGTCTCTCTCTCTCTCTCTCTCTCTCTCTCTCTCTCTCTCTCTCTCTCTCTCT